TATTGTAAGCCGCCCTGAGTCCCCTCAGGGAAAAGGGCGGCCTATAAATGCTAAATAAAATCTAAAAATCTAAAAAATCTACAGGACTTGGAGGAATTGGAGGTGGACAGCAACCAGGCCTACCTCTGGGTTATCCCATCAAGGCACCGAAACTCCCAGGTGATTCTTAATCCAGAATTTAACAAATTTCTTAACACATCCCTGAAACATTTGTCCAAATTATCTATATATACTGACTATATTGGAAGGAGATCCCTCCCTTCCTTCTCCCCCCCCCCCCCGTTTCTCTCTCAGTTTAAATAAGATTGCAAGCTGCGATGGGATTCACTTACCTTCCTTACCAGTTCACAAATGTGCTCGCACGCACCACATTCTGCACATGCGCACTGCGCAGAAGGTCACACATTATGTCGGGGCAGGTGGGCAGAACCTCCAGCAGCTGCTGCTACCGGTTCGCCCGAACCAGAGAGAACCGACTAAATGCCACCTCTGATTGCAAGCCAAAAATAAAGTTTGTTGTGTGAAACAATTGTGGCTTGTCAGTTATAAGTTTGCCCTAGCATAGTGGGCAACTCTTAAGATATGTGGACTTCAACTTCTCGAATTCCCCAGCCAGCCATGGCTGATTGTGGGATTCTGGGAGTTGAAGTCCACAGTTTTAGAATTGCAAGGTTGAGAAACACTCCTAGCAGTCCACAAAAACTGTATTTTATCCTAAATGGATCAGTGGTCCGTTTCAGTAACTACCAGCTTCCTTTGGACATGTTCTGATCAAACGGTTCTCTTTCCAGGTAGTTATTATGGAAATCCTTATGGTGCTGGCAAGCTGACTTTCGGTGAGTCCTCTTGACATATCTTTCATTCTATAAATCCTTTGCTCAGTGGTTGTGCAGCCTGGGGCTTGATAGAAATGGGCACAGCTTGAGGCCTTAAATGAAATAAATTATCAACTGGATTCCAGATTGCACAAATCTGTCTTGTGTGCCGATTATGTCCTTTCCTGGACCAGGAGGCCTTGTCATTCACACTTTGGTCACTTCCAATTTGGAGTACTGCAACATGCTATATATGGGTCTATCCATGAAGTCCACCCAGAAGTTACAATTGGTCCAGGCATGAAATCCTCTTATTTTCACTACCGGTTCAGAACTTGGAGCGCGCATACGCATGCTTGCTTCGCTCGCACATGGCACTTTTGCGCATGCGCAGAACCTTCTGGGTTGATGACGTCTGGGCAGGTGGGTGGACGGGAGGAGCTTCCCATCGCCGCCACTACTGGTGAACCAACAGAATATCACCTCTGAACTGGTCCAGAATGCAGCAATGTATACTGTGTTGAGTGTCCCTAGTTTCACTCATATTACACCCCTGTTGCGGGAGCTGTGCTGGGTCCCAGTTTTTTTCAGGATGCCGTTTAAGATGTTGGTTGTTACTTTTAAAGCCCCACATGGTGTGGGACCAGGTTATTTGCAGAACTGCCTCTCTCTGAGGATATGTGTTCATCCCAACAGAGCTGATGTGGTGGACATACTCCAGTTCTCTTGTATTAAACATTGCCATCTTATGGGACCTAGGAAATGTGCCTTTTCCATTGCTGCCTCTGCCTTAAGAACTGGTGGGCTTCCAGCAGGGGTGAAATTCAGGGAACCAGCAAATTCCACCTCTGGCTGGCCCCAGAGTGGGCTGGGAATGGGGATTTTGCAGTATCCTTCCCCTGCCACACCCAAGCCACACCCACAGAACCGGTAGTAAAAAAAATTGAATTTCACCACTGACCCCCTAGCCTTTCAGGGAGCCTTAAAACCTAATTCTTCCCCCCAGGAAGGTGCATTGAAACAGGGTGAGGTCAAGACAGGACAATAATGTGGGGGCATCGGAGCATTTTTTTTTCTGGTTCTGTTTCTATTATCATTAATTTGTTAGTTTTATATATTGTGTTATCAGTTGTAAGCCTCCCAGAGCTGTTTTTAAAATGGGCAGCTATATAACCATTTTAAATAAGGAATGAATAATGGACGAGGTGAGTGAATCATTTGAAAGGAAGGTTTGTGGCATCGGGCTTCACAGTAAGCCTGAAAATGTGAGCAAGTCTTCCTTACTGATTCCTGTCATTTGGTTTGAATCTCGTTTTAAGTCTCATGGCTTTGATTGGACTTGTGGTTTTGGATAGGAAGCCAAATTGAAAATTATTTGCAAATCTACTGAGCCTGCTGCCTATAGAATGACAAGCATAAGAGTGGAGTGAAATCGGATCTAGTTCCATAATTAGATGTAGAACAGCTTTCCCCCCATCCCGTACATTCCATCTGATTTGGGATTATAGGCGTCTAATACTTACGGAAAGCACTGGCTTGGAGAAGCTTTAGAAGTATGAGGAATTAAGAGATCTCTGTCTCTCTAAATCTAAAACACAAGAGGGATGAGTTAAAGGAAATGTAATCCCACATACCAACACAGGGAGTCCTCAGGGTATGACCACAACTGAGCCTGAAATTTATGTTGCTAAGAAAAACATTTGTTAAGTGAGTTTGCCCCCATTTTACGACTTTTCTCGCCACAGTTGTTAGGTGACTCGTCGCATTTGTTAAGTTAGTGACGCGGTTGTTAAGTGAATCTCGATTCCCCCTTGACTTCGCTTGTTCGAAGATCACAAAAGCTGATCACATGACTCTGGGACACTCATGGTTGGCATCCTTCAGTCTCAAAAGACTATGGTATCGTTCTCTGGAAAGAGGTCCTAATGCAGCATCTGGTACAGCTAAAAAGGCCAATTCGGGAGTGGCAATCCCTTCCACACTGAGGACAGATACATTCTGTCCCCTGCCCACCCCCAAATTTCGCTGGTTCCGGGACTGCCTCTTTGCCTCAGCCTGCCAAACAAGCGTCTCTTCGAATTGGAGAAGGCCACGCTGCGTCTTTAGCCTCCAAGGCTGAACGATCAGAGGTCAAGTTTCCCCAGCTGTTTATGTCCCTTCAAGGCCTTTCGTCATAAATGCAAACTACTTGCCAAGCATCTGAATTTTGATCAGGAGACCATGGGGATGTTGCAACAGTCGCACAGGTGAAAAACGGTCATGCGTCACTTTTTTCAGTGCTGTTGTAACTTTGAACAGTCACTCAATGAAGTGTTGTAAGTTGAAGATTGTGTCACCTCCATCTTCCCCGAGTCTTTACACCACCCAGGCTCGGGTCCGTGCTGGGGCTCAGGACCCCAAACAGCACCCCAAAGCTGGTGAAGTATTTTAATAGAGATTTGGGTTGATGTCCCAGATGTGCCAACATGGCTCTCTTAATAAATTGAAACTTTGAGCAATACTTTGCCTTGGACTCTGATTTACTTTTGGATGCTATTTGGACAGACTACTTGTATTCCATGGCCAATAAAGAGAATAATAGGATGCCAGTAAAAAGCTTACCTTATTACAATGCTGCATTTTATTTAAAGCATGTATGGGACTATTTCTCTCCAATTCTAAGGTCCTGGGTGTCGATTGGGGGGCGGGGGGTGACCTGCTTGAAGAGCAGAGGGAGGTGCTTTTACCAAGAAGAGCCCCAATGACTTCTTTTTCCTCCAATTTTCTTTATGTTTTGTATGAGGCCAAAATATGAATACCTGTTCTCATGCAGATTGTGTCTCCTCTATGTGGTTTTAGGCGGGGCAGGTGGTGCCTATGCTGGAGGACTTGGAGGAAAACCTGGCTATCCAACGGGTACAGGTAAATGTCTTTGTGTGTTTGGCTGAAGGTCAGACAAGAGTGTTAGCAAAGCCCTTCCTGTCTTCAGGTCTTGCAACTCAGGGCAAATTTGGCACTTTGACACAGTGAGAGAATGCCAGGGGGTTTGGGGAGCCTGTGGCTTCCCAGGTTTTGCTGAATGAGGGTGTTTTCCACCTTATCTGTAAAGGAATTTAAAGATGACCTTGGAAAGTATGAAATAATAGTTAAGGATGGACTTGGTGAAGCAATTTCACAGTCAAGAGATTGAAGCCAGCAGGAGAAAAAAATCCAGATGACTCTGTCTTGATTTTGTTTATCAGAAGACACAGGACAGAGAGGAACTGAGCAGTCCTTGGTCCTCTCTAAGCTTGATTGTTTTCTTACAGATGCTTCATTGCCAAACTAGTAATGCATCAGTGCTAGTAGGAAGGGTGGTTTGCTCTCATTTGACATTCTACTGACAGGGCACCAGACAGGGAAAGCCGCTAGAATATAAAATGAAAGCAAAACCCTCCACAAAGTTTTTCTGCTTTCTTCTGCAGGTGTAGGAGCTCAGGCCGCTGCTGCTAAGGCAGCCGCAAAATATGGTAAGTAACAAGCCAAAGAGAAACACCAGCATTTTTGCAGCACATGCTCTAAATTCACCCTGCAGGATTTCCAGGTTGAATAAATACCGTATTTTTCAGAGTATAAGACATACCGGAGTATAAGACACACCAAGATTTTGAAGAGGCAATTTAAAAAAAAAAGTTTTTGCACTTTGCAGATCTCCTAAAAACAGCCCTGTTTTTCGCTCATTTATCCCCTCCCCAGCCCCCAGGAGCACTCTGGAAGCCTTCTAAAGGCTATGCACAGACATTTTTGCAAAGGGAGTGGGGTTTCAGGAGGCCAAAAATGCTGTATTCAGTGTATAAGATGCACTCAGATTTTCACTGATTTTTTTGAGGGAAAAAGGTGCGTTCTTGTACTCCGAAAAAATGGTATTTAATGTTTTAGAACCTACGCAGCCTCTGCGGTCTCCAGGGCTCCTAATCATAATGGTTAAATTACAACTTTTAAAAAAATGGCTAAATCTCAAATATCTGGAGGTGATCCCATGAAATCTCGTGAGACTTTAGCATTTTAAAATTATCTTTATTTTTTATTCTTGCGTGTTCTTACTTTCTTGAACCCACAATATCATACAAGAAGATCCACTACTAAACAGGTCACTGCACTTCCATCACCTAAAGGATATTTGCTCTAATTATTATTTTTGGGGGGAACAAAGTGACTTAACAGTACTTTCTTATCTATGGAACCAATTTCATTGTATACATGATGTACAATGACAATAAAGGCCATACTACTATAGAAAAGGAGATGTTGCTTCTAAGGAGTTCAATCCTGCAGAGAACCTTTTTTTCCCAGACTTTGAGAGCCACAGTAACTCAAGGTTGGGGATGGATTATGCTGGGATTAGAAATATTTGCCCTCCCTTCTGCTGGGAGTCAAAGTACAAGGAACCTTGCCCAATATGCATCCTTACTTTTCTCTCACAAGCTGCTGGACTTTTGCCTGGAGCAGGCGCTGGACTTTTGCCTGGAGCCGGGGGTGCCCTTGGCGGAGGAGGGCTGTTCCCTGGTGTTGGTGGTGCTGGAGGAGGACTAGGTAATTTCCTGTGTATTGGAACAATACATCAAATCTGCCTTGCTGGATCACTGCCTGAGAATGAGGGCAGTTCATTATGGGCTACCATGATGTCAATAGCAATAGCACTTAGACTTATATACCATTTTGCCGTGCTTTACAGCCCTCTCTAAGCGGTTTACAGAGTCAGCCTATTGCCCCCAGCAATCTGGGTCCTCGTTTAATCCACCTCAGAAGGACGGAAGGCTGAGTCAACCGTGAGCCTGGTGAGATTTGAACTGCCAAATTGCAGTCAGCCGGCAGTCGGCAGAAGTAGCCTGCAGTACTGCACTCCAACCACGGTGCCACTGTGGCTCATAAAATTAAGATGAATAAAATTAAGATCTATATAGCCTCTAACTACCAGAGGCCTATTCACTCCTAGATATTATGTCAGTTACGGAGAAGATGGCCATGTCCAACTTTCATTATCCTTGGCACCTTGGCTGCCTCAGCAAAATTGGAGGGCCATTGCTTCTCTTTCCCCACCTAAAAAAGTAGAGTGCATCTCAACTAATCTAGTCATTAGGAGCTATAGTCACCTTGCTTTGAAGTTCCATCCCAGAAGTGAATAGGCCCAGCTATATACTTGGAAGTTCAGAGCTCAGCAGAAAAACCCCGCACTCATAAACCTTGTGGGGGTTGAATCACGTGTGACTGAACGTGGGCACTCCTGAGACCCAAGATGATGTGATCAATGATTAGTGAAGCAGGTATTATAACTGAAACATAATGGAGATGTAGGAAGCACGTGATAGGAGTAGGCCAGGCCTAGCACCTAGCTAGCTGCATCCTGCTAGGAGGGAAGTCCAAAATAATGTTTTGTGTGTTTGTGTCCCTGGGAGAGAAGCTAAATGGAGGTGACTGCAGATTATCAAAGAGGAGGTGAAGTGATAAAGAGGGGGACATATTAAACGTTAGCTCTCCCTCTGCATCCTATGACCCTTATGGTCAGTAGTATATCAGGGGTGGGTTTCAACCGGTTTGCGGCGGTCCCCGCGAACTGGTTGGTCGGCGAACCCGGAAGTAAGTGACTTCCGGGAACGGCGAAGGGCCCACACGCCCACCCGCGTTCCTTACCCGGTTTTGACGAGTTCTGCGCTTCCACGCATGCGCAGGAAGCATACAGCGCCTGCGCGATCCTCCAGGAGCAGCTGGAGCATCGCACAGACGCTAGTACGCGTGCGCTGCGCACGTGCACGAGGACGCCACCGGCCCCGTTCCACCTGAACCGGTTGGAACGGGGCGAGAAACCCACCCCTGTAGTGTATGGAGTACTGAAGAGCCTATATCATTTGGATTGGAGGTCCAACAAGACTTTGGGTACCTCTCTGTTTATATGGCTATGGGAAGATAAGCAGCCTTAAGACTCATTTAGTCCAATTAAATGTGCTCCCCCACAACCATGCTACTTCAGCCATCACAGCCACGACTGTCTGAAATCCACTCCTCCTTGTCCCAGATGTGGTAGGAACGTCTGTTCTTATTAACATCAGCACCACGAAGGTAATAAGACACGTATACTTCTCTCCTCTTTTTCTTTCCTTCAGGTGCCGGCGGAGCAGGAGTAGCGGCAGCAGTAGCTGCCAAAGTAGCAGCCAAAGCAGCAGCTTACGGTGAGTTGGTTCGTCTTCTTTAGATGAGCTTGAACTAGAACTGGAACCAAAGACGAAGTAAATTAACGAGGATAAAGAATGTACGGACTGAATTAAATAAGGCACCAAGAATCTTTTGTGGAATAACTTAGAATTGGCAGAGACAAAGTTCTCCTTTGCTTTGAGTTTAATTTTGACTATCCATGTTGTTTTCTTGGAAACAGGATGAAACAGGATTTTTTTCTTTATTTATTTTTCACATTTCTGAGCAGGCCATCTCCTTTTTACTTCCTAGCCTAATCTTCAACTTTGGGATTTCCTTGTGCTAGGCCAGGGGTATCAAACTCAAGGCCCACAGGCCGGATCCGCTCCGCAGGGTGCTTAGATCTGGCCCATGGCGCTGCCCTGGAAACAGTGAAGGACCAGCCCACGGTGCCTCTGCCAGATAAAACAGAGCTCGGGAGGTTTGCATGCGGCCCTCCCAGGCTCCGTTTTCGGTCGCGACGGCCTCCTGCCACCCTCTGCCAGTGAAAACAGAGTCATCTACGTTATTTCTACTGTGGGCCGAATCCTATTTGAGATCGGCTGAGGTCAACCAAATACTGCCATCTGCTTTAACAAAAACTGGCAGAAATGTGCCGCTTGGGCAGAGGAAATACGGGGAGGTGCCTGATTCTTTTATGCCTGTTACTGTTCCTTTGTAGCCTTTTGACCTGATGCTCTGTGAATTGACTGTAACAAACATGCCTCCGTGGAGGAGATGAGATGACAAATGGAGGAACTAGGCACAGAAAGAAGGAAATCTTCTTCCACCTTCAGCCCTTGCTTCTTCCTCAAAAAATGCATCGCTGTTCTCCTTTTTAAGACACTGGAGAAACCATGTTAACTCTTCCAAACTTTCTATTTAGACTTAACATCTAGCTAATCTCTCTTTTTCTCTCGGGGGGATTTGATATGATTGTTGGGTTTGGGTTACAAATTTTGCTCTTGTCCGTATGGGACCAGGATGATGGTTGCTTCTTGTGTTCTTCAAAAAAAAAAACATCTGGGAGATGAAGGGAAATCACATGAATAAAAAAAGCGTAGGATCAAATAGGATGGATTTGGAGCACCTCCTCTTTAGGTTCTAAATACTGCAACTTTCCCAGGTGCACCTGATCTGCTCTCCAGAGAGGCTTTAGGAATTGTAGTATTTTGCTTTCTACCACTTTTTCCTGGACTGTCTCAGCCTGCCATCTGTTTTTTATTGAAGAAGTGAGCTGGCAATGAAGGGATTTAAGGAAACCACAACACCGTCTGGTTTCACCAAGCAGGATAGTGAGATTATGTGCTATTTTCCAGTCCCTGAAGTGCTGCCCAAACATCCATCCCACATTAAAATCAAGGGGCAGGGGCACCAGCTCTGATGTGTTTTTCCTGTGGTGTGTGCCTCATCTGTGGCTTCTAGGCTCCAAGTAAAAGTCAGAAGCAAGTGTGTGAGATGCGTTCTGAACTATCTTGAAATCCAACGCTTCAGCCTAGAAAGCCTTCCTTCCCTTCCCTGATTTTACTGCCTCTGCAGTTGCTGTTCTTATCAAGCAGGGGTGTCAAACTCAATTTCCTTGAGGGCTGCATCATGTTTGACCTCGGAGGGCTGGGGTTGGCATGGCCAGGGTGGACGTGGCCCGCTCGATGTCACTCCTGTCAGGGGCGCTGGTGATGTCCCGAGTGCTCTGCCTGTGAAACAGACTCCCGAGCTCCATTTTCATTAGCAGAGGCTGCAGGAAGCTGTGGCAGCCGAAAACGGAGCTCAGGAGCCCATTTTTGCTGACAGAAGCACCGCAGGCCAGTCGCTGTTTCCAGGGCGGCCCCACGGGCCAGATTTAAGTACCCCGCGGGCCGGATCTGGATCCTGGGTCTTGAGTTTGGCACCCCTGTTATAAAGGATGAATAATTATAGGCTTGATTAGAGACACAAGTTGAATGTTCCAGGCATAGTGCATTTCTCTTCTTTTTTTTTAACTGTATATAATTTTTTTCTTGAACATTGAAAAGAATAAAAACAAAATTACACTTTGAAAGACAGAAAAGTAAAGAAAAGCAAAAAATTAATGAAAAAATGCATAGAAAAGGGTTATAAAGGAGTAGCTTCCAATTTTAGGTTTTTAGGTTGGGTTATTAGCTTACAATACTGTACAACTTCCTTCTTTCTATAGTCTATCCTTTGGGGAAGGAAATGAAAGAATGTGGACTTTAGTTACATGTTGGGGAAAAAGGTTTTTTTTTAGTGAGAGATTTGCTGTTAGATAGATCCTGCTGCCGATTATGATAGCATCCTTGATTTCTCCATTGGATTTTGAGACATCGTTTTCATTTTTACAAGAAAGGCAGAAACATAATTTCCAGTGTAGACCTGAGAGAATGAAATAATGCTCATCTTTTGTTTCGTTAGCTTCCACACAGATTCACTGCATTTATTAATGTTTTTGGGGTTTTTTTTAACACATGAATCGTGATGAGTGTCAGAAAGACACGGGGAAAGTTTTTTTGTTGAAACCATTCATTGTATTAGTCAATGTATTACCCACCGGTGGTTGCGGTGAAAGTCTGGATTTTTCCATTGATTTCTATGGGCAGCCTTTGTTTCCCTTCAGAAGTGAAGGTGAGGCGTGGGTGGGATGGGTGAAATGTGTTGAAAGCAGAAGTTCACCTTGGAACATCACTCTTTCCTTTTCCATGTCTATGACTCAGCCCCTGTCAGTGATAGAGCCATCCAGGAAAGAGGCTGCCATCTAGTGGATCATTCTGGCTACAACATTTTGCTTTTCTTTACTTTTCTGTCTTTCAAAGTGTAATTTTGATTTTATTCTTTTCAATGTTTAAGAAAAAAATTATATACAGTTAAAAAAAAAGAGAAGTGCACTGTGCCTGGAACATTCAACTTGTGTCTCTAATCAAGCCTAGATAATTCATCCTTTATAACAGGGGTGTTATAAGGCCCAGGATCCAGATCCGGCCCGCGGGGTACTTAAATCTGGCCCGTGGGGCCGCCCTGGAAACAGTGACTGGCCTGCGGATTCTTCTTAAAAGCCTCCAGTGATGGAGCACCGTAACCTCTGAGGAAAGCCATTCCGCTGGTTTATTGTTCTCACTGTCAGGAAATTTCTCCTTAGTTCCAGGTTGCTTCTCTCCTTGATTAGTTTCCATCCATTGTTTCTTGTTCTATCCTCAGGTGCTTTGGAAAATAGGTGGACCCTCTCTTCTTTGGGGCAGCTCCTCAGAGTAAAATAGAAGAAAATAGAATAGGTTTGTGGTGGTCACGGGGTAGCTTGAGGGTACAACAGACTTAGAGTTAGAATATGTTTATTGTCCCTTTAAATGTACACTAATCAGCATATATTAAAATGAAATTTCATTTTAATCTTAAAGGGCCATCTCCTCCAATATACACTACATAAACATGACAAAATTATGCATATACCCACATATAGGTTCAGTACAATGATCAATGACTCCTCATATGTCAAGAACTATTGAGATGGCAGGTAGAAGGAGCATCACTGTTTAGCCTGTGACTCTAAGGAGCCTATATTCAGAGTGACTGATTCATAAATATTAGGATGGCATGATATTGGGAATGGCTAATTTAGAATTACAGGAAAATTCTCTTATGAGATTTACCTAGTTTTATCATCATCATCAGCTGCAGCAGCATCAATCATCACCATCCCAGACATTGTAGGGGGAGAGCCACGTTACAAAAAACAAACAAACAAGGAGTCATAGAGCATCTTTTCAACCAACAAATTGTATTAAAAATCACCAGCTTTTAATAAGCAGTGGCTTCCCATCATGACAGACTTTCTTTGAAGCACAAAGGTTTCATCTCTGTACCCCTGGGGATTCAGCAGCAATGCTAGGTATTCATTCACAAAGCATTATATTTATTTTATGATTACATCCTCACCATCTCTGAATTAGGCAATCACGAAGGCTGCAATTACTGCCTATATTGCAGCAATAAATAAAATAATTACTATAAAATTAATATGATTGCATTCATAACAAGGGAAGTCCTTTCTAGGTAGCAGCATTTAGTGACTCTCCATCTCAGAACCTGAAGTAAGTTGTGGTTGGCACTAACATGGGAAATCCCAGGACTGTGGTTAGGTTGTGAAGTTAAAAAAAAAAGTTTCCTGCATGATGGCAGTGATAGTGACCACTTCCAGATAACGGCTAAGAAAATTTCACAAACATAACTACGACATCCTGCCTAAGCAGGGGGTTGGACTAGAAGACCTCCAAGGTCCCTTCCATCTCTGCTATTGTATTGTATTGTATCATTAAAAGTCAAGTTCAGCTGAAAGCATACTTTCTCATATTATTATTATTTCAATAATTATAGCATTAAGGATGGGTGGTTCAGTGGTATAGGAGAGTGTTGCCGAACCTTTTTGGCACCGGTTGCCGGAATGGGAGCATGCGTATATGTGCCCATTCCAGAAACCAGAAGATCAGCTGGGAAGTGCGCATGCATGTGCTGAGAAGATGATCTTCTGGTTTCTGGCGTGCACATGCATCATATTGCTGGTCTTCATGCATGCATGCACACCAGAAATCAGAAGACCAGCTGGCTGGTGCACCGGAACCTGGAAGAGCAACGGGCAATGAATCACGTGCCCAGGGAGATGGCTCTGTGTGCCACTTCTGGCACGTGTGCCATAGGTTCGCCATCATGGGTATAGGTCTTAAACTGCCTGAACTGAAAAGTTGCCATTCTCCAGAAAAACAATGGTCATCGTTTCGAATTGTGCTTGGCACCATTCTTTTCATGGATGGTGATGATAATTACCTTCTTAGTTAGAAGCACCTATTACCACCATTTGATTCTTTTCTGGACATGAACAACTTAGTTACAGTACTTTATGCTCTGGTATCCTCATATGTTCAGACTACTATAACGCAATCTTTGGAAGACATGAAGGACCAGGTTGGGGACAGATTCACCTGGAGAAAATATGGACACTCTGAGCTGACATTGATTTAATGGCACATAATCCCAACAATGCACTTAGGGCAAGCACAATTCCTACAGTGCGACTGGAGTAGGATGTGGCAGCTGGATAGGGAGTGGAGCCACCTGGACACATACACGTTATTCTTTTGCTAAGCAACTGCATGATATATATAAAGACCTTCAGTGTTACAAACCAGGATGATTACTATGTCTGAAAGGATAATGTGTTCATCTAAAGCAGGGGTGTCAAACTCAAGGCCCGGGGACCGGATCTGGCCCATGGGGTACTTAGATCTGCCCCCTGGGGCCACCCTGGAAACAGCAAAGGACCAGCCCGCTGTGCTTCTGCCAGCGAAAACAGGCTTCTGAGCTCCGTTTTCTGCTGCCACGGCCTCCTGCATCTCTCTGTGAAAACGGAGCTCGGGAGGGCCGCAAGCAGCCAGAGCATATGGTCCACCCCAGTTGCCCCCGACAGGAGTGACGTTGAGATGGCCATGCTGACACTGGCCACACCCACCCCAGCCCCCCCAAGCTCAAACACAACCCTGTTGCAGCCCTCAATAAATTGCATTTGGCACCCCTTGTCTAAAGAATGGGTTCTTCTAACATGCTTCTCACTGATAGCACTTTTAATTGTGGAACATTCTGCCTAAATGCTTCTCATCGTCTCAAAATAACAGCATAATATCTTCTTATGAGTATCCTATTATGATTTATGTTGATTTCTTATTTAGTACCCTAGCCTTCCACCCACAAATCCTTCCATTTCTCTGTGATTTGAGGACTGCAAAAACGAGTAAACTACCCATAGAGATTACCATTACCCTACTACCATTTCTCCCTCCAGCCTTTCATACCTGATTGTGTGTGTGTGTGTTTCGTTATTGTCCATCAATGGATGTTTCTGGGGGAAAAAACCACTTTTCTGCAATTGTTTTCTGTTCTCTTCTGCTGTCCTAATAAATTAATGCTAATTATTGATCAGTATTTGACCCATGTTGGCCAACATTCAAGAGATTCATGGCTCCCTTCATCCAATTCCACCCTGTTTTGCTTAGTCCTTTTATGACTTTCTTTCTGTTTACAGGTGGCAGAGGTGTCCCTGGAACTGGAGTGGGTGGTGGCGGCTATGGTCTTCCTGGAACTGGAGTTGGTGGTGTTGGTCTTCCTGGTGTTGGTGGACTTCCGGGAGTTGGAGGAGGCGGACTAGGAGGAGTTGGTGTGGGAGGTAAGTTGTTAAGAGGAAGAGGAGGGGAAGATGAAATCGCGGTTCGCTTCTGTATCCCAAATAGTCAATCCCATTTAGTCCAACATCTCTCAATTATAAATTTGTTCCCTGGCTTCAAACGTATTAATATCTATTCACTGCTTTTAGGTTATATCGCCAAGCAGGGGTCCAATGGGCAAAACAGCAATAGCAATAGCGCTTAGACTTATATACCGCTTCATAGTGCTTTTACAGTCCTCTCTAAACAGTTTACAGAGTCAACATATTGCCCCCAACAATCTGGGACCTCAGAAGGATGGAAGGCTGAGTCAACCTTGAGCCGGTCAGGATCAAACTGCTGGTTGTGGGCAGAGTTCGCCTGCAATATTCCATTCTAACCGCTGCACCACCCCGGCTAGTACTGAATACTAGCCGACACACATCCTGTGTAGCATGTGTGAACCGAGGGCAGGGACTATCTGCTCCAAAAATAGTATCAGCCTCAAACAACACCATGTAATCACCGTCATTCTGATTCTGGTAACTGGAGCAGAAACCTAATTTTAACATCCACACAGGGAGCAGAGCTGAACCCACCTTATATCTTCTCCCTCCAACCTGACTGGTGCGAAGACACTTCTGTGCTGCTTCAGGCCCTGCTCCTCACCTCTTCCAAAACAGTTTGGGATTGTTGTTTATCAGCTGGATTTTAAAAAGCTGAGAAAGAGCAAAAAAGCCCATCAGCTATCTAGGTTCTCTCTCCAGGTGCTGAGGAAGAGAGGGCAAAGAACATTGTTTGGCATCACAATGGCACTCCTTCTGGAGCAGTGGTGGGTTCTGGTATGTCCCCAGGGACCGTGGGTAGCCAAAGAACTGAGGCAGAGACGGGAATAAAGGCTAACAAATTTTATTCCCTGACAAATACAGGCTAACATTCAGAAGCGGCTTTTAACCCAGGAAAATGCACGCTGCTCGTTTGGACAGCTCCCTTTTTATACTGGAGCTGTCAAACGACCAGCCAATCAGGTATCGAGTTCTTCCCGCTTGAATTCTTTATTTCAACACATGCTCAGAACGTGACAAGTTCCTACCAGCTCGGCCCGGTTCGGCCAAACCAGTAGTGGTTTAGCAGCCTGGGTTACTGGAACTGGCAGCAACCCAGGCCTGCCACACCCCTGAACTGGTAATCTGGACAGCAGCGTAGGTAGCGCCATCTTCTTTTTTTGTTCTGTGCATGCACGCATCAAGCGCGGAGCGCACATACGAGTGAACAGGCAGTTGTGCCTGCCGGAACCCACCCCTGTGCTGGAGTAATAAAAGTCCCTTCCCACATCCCCATACTTTGCGAAAGGAAAAATAAAAGTAAAAAGTTAGATTCTGTCTTGCCCATTGAGTGGGAGAGGAAAAAAGAGCAAAACAGTTGAACTCTTAATCATTTGGACTTCCTTTTCCTGCGTTGCTATAGGCAGATAAGAATTGAAAGCTATCAGAGGCAGAGCTGTGCAGTGTTTCAATCCAAAGCAGAACAGTCAGGCATCCTCAACTCCTTCCCTCAAATGCAGCTATTGTGTAAGTCCCCAAACTCCTTCAGCTCCTTGACCTCTTCGTGAAGTTTCAGGTTGTTTATTCACGCCTGGAGATTAACTACGGTCTATGAAAATAATTTAAGAAATACTACTTTAACTAATACAGTAAGGGTTGCAAATTATCATCACACTTTTTCTGCTGTGGATGCTGCACAAATACTGCCCACCTCTATTTGGAAAGAACGCCAATGTTGTATTTTACAATAGGATCATCGGAGGTTGTGTGTCTTTGCCGATTTTATGCAAAAATACCTGAGCAATACATACAAGAGCCTAAACTGTTCGACCCAATTGCCAGGCTTTTTTCCAGTCTCAAATAGTGTCATTAGCAGCCCCGCTCCTAAAAAAAACAAACCCAGAAACTATATTTTACGCAATCAGGTATGCAACAGTTTCCCAAATGGAGTTTTCCACTCAGAAACAAGCAAATTGCTCCATGAACCACAGTTATCTGCCCAGTTGAAAAACCACAGTATTAGAGGGATCTAAAACGAAGCTAGGGACGCGGTGGCTCAGTGGCTAAGAAGGTTGGCAGTTCGGCAATTCGAATCCCTAGTGCCGTGTGACGGGGTGAGCTCCCATCACTCGCCAACCTAGCAGCTCGAAAGCATGTAAAAATGCAAGTAGAAAAATAAGAACCACATTTGGTGGGAAGGTAACAGTGTTCTGTGCGCCTTCGGCGTTTAGTCATGCCGGCCACATGACCACAGAGACTTCTTCGGAGAGCGCTGGCTCTTCGGCTTTGAAACAGAGAGGAGCACCGCCCCCTAGAGTTGGAAACGACTAGCACACATGTGCAAGAGGAACCTTTACTTTTACCTTTAAAATGAAGCTACTTTTTAAAAACAAACACACACTGCAGATAGAAAGCTTTGTTGACTCTAGTTCCTGAGTGGGAAGACAAGGTGAGGTGAAGAGTTTCCACAATTGGACAGCCTCCCGCTCATGCTTTAATAGTGGGCTGCAAAATGAAAGTCGGGTAGACCTGTGCTGTGAAGCGTGCTGCGGCTGAGTGTGAAATTAATTGGCTCAGCTGGCAAACCCAGCAGACTGCGTGGGAAGACCTTCCTCTCAATCCAGTTCTGGAGTGGTGGGAAATGAGGTTGAATAGAATTAAAAAATGTTGCAATAGGATGAATTGAGAGAGAGAGAGGGGGCATTCTGTTCCTACCCGTTCTTGTTTTCATGTTAAAATTACACCTCACTTATTTTCTGTATTATTCCATTTCCTTGCAATGCAGTGCCAGCAGCACTCCACCAGTAGTGAGATTCACTTATCTTTGCTACTGGTTCACAAATGTGAGCGCGCATGTGCAGAAGGTCGCGCATTACATTGGGGCAGGGTGAGGGGCGGAGCCTCCAGCAGCTGCCACTACTAGTTCGCTCAAACCCACCACTGCACTCCACATTTTAAGATTAGTGTCTGATTTGCTTCCTATTGAAAAGACACCTTTACCTCAGTCCCCGTGTGAGGTAACAGCAAATGAATTAGCCATGTTGGGAAAGGAGGAAATGACAAACCACATTTTGGAGTGATCACATTTGTTGATTACCACAGCGTATAGAATACATGCATGAAGCAGTGACTTTCTAGGAAAGAATGAAATCGCATTCGAATGAAGTAAACAGTATACCTTTGAGAATCTGTATAGTCCTTGATTTACAATCACAACTGAGACCAAAATTGTTGCTAAACGAGACGTTTGTGAAGTGAGTTTTTGCCCCATTTTATGACCTTTCTTGCCACAGTTGTTAAGCAAATTGCTGCAATTGTTAAATTGGCCGGACAGTTGCTAAGTGAATCTGGCCACCCCATTGACTTTGCTTGTCAGAAGGTCAGAAAAGAGGATCACAGGACCCCCGGGATATTGCAACCGCCATAAAGATGAGTTCGTTGCCAAGCGTCTAAATTTAGATCAGGTCACCATGGGAATGTTGCAACGCTGTAAGTGTGAAAAACGGTCATAAGTCATTTCTTTCAATGCCGTTGCGACATCAAATGGTCATAAGTTGAAGACGACTTGTATTCCATGGCCAATAAAGAGAATACTAGGATGCCAGTAAAAAGCTTACCTTATTACAATGCTGCATTTCATTTAAAGCACGTATGGAACTTTTTCTCTCCAGTGCTAAGGTCCAGATGCTCAGAAGGGAGACTATTTAGCAAAAGTGGGTTGCTACCAGTTCAACCCAGTTCAGCCGAACCAGTAGTAGAATTCAGGCCTGGGTCGCAGAACCGGCAGTGAGTCAGGCCTAATACGCCCCTGAACCGGTTCTTCGGTGTCTTCTGCCATTGCCAGCATGGTCTGCGCATGCCCAGAGCAATTTTAAGTTAAATGCACATGCGCAAGCAACGCACAGCCAGCGTGCGCAAGAGCGAAGCGCACACTCAGCGAACCGGTACTAACTGTTTCAGGAACCCACTCCTGCTATGTAGCCCCTTGGGAATCATCTGATGGTTATGGATGGCCAGAACCAAAATGAGCAAGGGAGCTTCCTCTTTTGCCACCCACTTCTTTTCACTGGACGTCTGTTAAAGAGATTTTTTTTTCTGGAGTTTCTGGAGATGAAGTAAAGAGCTGTGGTGGGGCGGTGGTTAGAATGTAGTATTGCAGGCTCACATTGCCAGGAGTTCGATTCCCTCAATCCTGGCCGGCTCAAAGGTTGACTCAGCCTTCCATCCTTCCGAGGTGGGTAAAATGAGGTCCCAGATTGTTGGGGGAAATATGCTAACTCTGTAAACTGCTGTCAGGCGTGCCCCATTCAGTATCCAAGAAAGAAAACCCCCAACTCAATTTGAATAGAGATAAAGTGTGAAGTAACCATCCTCTGCTATCAAATGTGATGTTCCCGTGGGTCGTCCATGAGGCCAATGTTGGGAAAAGATAGGACACGAACTTTCTCGAGATGGAGCGGCCCAGATTGGAGTCTGAGAGCCCCTTTTATTGAGATAGGACAAAGGCAGGAGGA